TATGTACGTAGCATACACTGATTTGCAAGGGCAGCAAAACTCTGTACACGGCCATGTACTAATCCGAGTAATCGGTCTGAAAACCCCAGGCCCGACCAGAGTTCATGGACAACTCCGCAAGCTTTGTACAATGACGTTGGTGGCGGTGTTTACGAACCTGGTTCTCACAAAGTTCACAACCAAACATATCAATCTTTGACAGTAGAGTAGTAGCGGTCTTGTACCCGTCAAGGTTTCTCTTGTGAGCCGTGACAGCTGATTCGGAGTTCTCCAGAGAGGCAGATCTGGTGCAGTACATGATTGTACTCACCAAATCATCTTGTTGGGTGATCCCTTCAGGCTTCATGCCAAACTGATCAACTGAGTTAGCGTCATTGACACCGTTGACAAGTCAAGTTTGGCCTCGTGGCATCTTGTCTCACCAACACTGGAAGTTGACAGATGTGTGCACAACGTACTTATGTAGGTGGTGTCGCAAAGTAGGACACAGCCGGGATACCTTTCTGGGATCGACGGACTAGGCCCGCGTTGAGCAAACCAGGCAGCATAAAAACAGGAAAGGAGCCGATAGTATCAGTGATATCAATCTATCGACTATCGATCCTGATTGACTGAGGAAATCCGCTTGACACTTGACGCCTTGGCTTAGTCCAGCTGGCAACAATACATAATATTATGTACTTCTACATGTCTGTTTGAGAGAGAACTTGATGCAGGATTGCATTTGCACCGTGTTTTGCATTCCTTCCTAAGAAGAGGCAGACATGCAGGCCTAATAGAAATAGTTTAAAAAACATGTTTGAGGATAACAGCAGGCTCTCAGCACAGTGTGTCCTCACCTGCTGTTTCTATCCTCAAACATGTTACTTGCTACATATTAAATCCGGCATTGTACAAGTACATGTCGCACTAACTGATACCAGTGGGTAGTACCACTGCTAGTGCAGTAGCAACACCCTGTGCCAACCGTGACTACATACCATGATACATTAGTATCATTACAAATACAAGAAGGAACAGTACAAATCGTCGTGTTATCTACGGGCAATGTGCAGATACAGTGTACATACTACTCCCTGATTACAATCACTATCATTACGTCATGGTCACAATCCTCAACTACATGTACATGTACAATGTACCTTGCTATATGCCCGTACACAGGTACATGTACATACATGTAATTACTAATAATTGTAGAAGCAGACTTCATCTGATTTTCCAGAATGTCCAACTCAAAACTGCTGGGCTGGCCTCTTATCTGCAATAGTCCCTGCTCGTACCGTCCTTTACAATAATTGTTTACCAAGTATTCAAAAGTAAACGGATTAGTTCCGCCTTCACCACATGACTGTGCTCTCTGGAACTGATTGGCATTGATGAACAGGTGGAAAGCTGCATATGTTCTTTTTAAAAAAGTATTCAAAGTATTCGTTCATTACAAAATATTATTATTATACACTTTCAAGTTTCAATATTCTTGCAACCTACATACCGTAATTGTAAGGTAAGTCCTTAGCATACTACATGCACATTTAGCCATACTATTAGTCTCTGACTGCATGCAGTACCTGTTATTTCAATGGTTTTTCGTCATCCCCGCTTTTACCGAGCCACAGAAGTACTAAAACGGTTACATTGTAGGTGCGTGGAGACCATGCCATGTACCAGCGACAAGTACAAAGTAGATCAACCACGCGACCATCTCGCTCGCTCAGTCCGACTGTCAAGAATAGGTTTCGCCGTGTGACCTGAAATACGTTGAGTGGGCTGAGCGCCAAGTAATAGTTATATTACACACTACGTACTAGACTGTAGTTACTGCGTTCTGCTCGCCAGGAGCGTAGACGTCCAGGATCATCGATTTCTTTGAGGAAGTAACTTTTTTTCTGGTGTGAAGAGAGCACTACCGGTGTTATGTGGGACAAGCCATGTCAACGTCAAGTACATTTTAGTCAGTGCTACGAGTGTAGTACAGCATGCAGTGGCATAGTAACAAGGACGAGATGAGGTAGATTTTGACAAAGGAAAACGAAGTGCACAACTGCTACCGGTACATTGTAGATCTACTGATGTCTTTCCTCCAGAACAGCCAGAGGAGGAATACAGCCATGTTCGTCACACTTGCACTGTAGCACTGCACGATCGGATTGCTCTACATCTGCTATGGCCAGTCAGTGAGAGCGCACTTAGTCCCTCAGCTCGCACTTCATCGAAGTTGCAAAAATAATCACAAAAAACAGCAACACCTGGCTGTACTGTACTGTAGAGTGTAGTGTAGGTAGTGAGCGTAAGGCCAGGACGGCAGGACCTAGCTTAGCTGGCATGTAGATTACTAATACTAGTAGTCTAGGGAGTTCAGTCACGTGACAAATCAGCTGAAAACAGCCTTCACGCGGGTCACGTACATTAGCATGGTAGCGGTGGCACCATGGACTTCGCTGCAGTTTTCGTCGAACTGCTTTGTCCTGCTTTCTTTTTCAAAATTGAAAGTTGGTGCGTTTTATAGCTGAGGTCTTCCTGCTCGTTTTGGTGCCGCACTTGCTTGGGCAACTGTAGTTTGAGCTTTTTGTTGTGAGGAGTGTAGTTTTCAATTGGATTTTTCATCCGGTTGGAGGGAGTACACGGCCAGGAAACACCCACCATCGTGTTCAGCGACCTCAAATTATGTAGAATAGTGCTTTCTTCTCGAGCTGGGGGATCGCTCTTCATCGCGCTTTCAAGACTTTCACCTCCTGGTCGCCCAAAATGAATGAATTTCTGGACCCAATATGTTCAAGCGTAGGAGTGTAGGAGTGTTTCAGATGATTTGTTGGCCTTAGTGAAAGATTGCACCTGACGGAGACTTTCGCTATTGTGACAAAAGTGAGCTATGATTAATTTTTGAATTCGACTCGTCGCCTTGAAACCAGAAAGAAATTGCTATGGAGTGGTGCTCTGACATGAATCGCGTCAGTGATTGGATTGAATCGCGTCAGTGATTGGATTGTACGCATATTTCACTATTGTGCATTTTACATGTAAAATGTACATGTACATGATTGATCAACTGTGTGACAGCCGCAGTAAAGTTGGGCATCTGAAGATCAAACTTTTGTATTTATTATTTGTACATGTATAATACAACCATAGCCATCAGTGCTCACTTCAATTTCATAGTAATGGAACTCGTGTTCAATGGATTTAGCATTGTTGCTATGGTGGTTGCTACGGGCGCCACGCTTGTTCTCATTGGTCATCGCTGGCCGAAATATTATATTTTGATCAATATTAGGACTAACCAACCTGTATTGCACCTATATTACACCTATATTGCACCTACAAGCCAGATTTCATAGCATTCTGACAATATTGTAATGTTGCTAAGCGTTTGCTAGGCTTTCCGGAAAACCCTGTTGGTGCCACAGCAGTATGGCATTCCGCATACATCATGATGAAGGTTGGCGTATGACTTTGACGCCTCATATCTCTGGTATCCTTCAAGATTTTTCAACCAAATTTTCTGTGCTATCTCCTGTACTGTAGTTCTTCCCGAAAACAAACAGTTTTCTTGGTTTACTACGAAAGAAAAAAATACGGTGATATCCCTACTACTAGTACATGATTGATTGTATTTTAAAAATATTGTAGCAGAAACCAAACACACCACGTGCTCCGGTCGGGATCAGATCAGACCAGAGCAGGATTGATGATCGATGAGGTTGACTACTCATTGCTACAGTCAGTACTGAGTCCTAGTCACCTGGTCACTCCTACTAGTCCTAGTCAGACACACAACACACATGATTGTATTCATTCGGATCAGTACGGCCTGTGGCCAAAGCCTTGTTATTATATATTGGCAAAGGCGTGCCATGCCGGCGGTAGATCTACATAGCCATAGGTCCATTAAATATTTCTAGTATTAGGAGTCAAATGTTTCCGCTGAGGTCAGGGTACCGGGTAGACAGCCAACTACAAAGTACAATGCAAGTGCACCACCATTCCGAGCTGTAGTGTAGGGTCTTTTTTACCATGCTTACCATGTTTACTGGCTTCCGCTGACGCAACGACGTGTTGTTACGTCGATGCGAAAGGACGAGAATCTGTGATCAGCGGGTTCTCCTTTCTACAACTAAGAATATTCCCTCCCTCGAGCTCGCTGTAGCCTGGCTGCGCCAAGACTGCAAGAGGCGAGTAAAAGTACATGTAATGATTATGTGGACTGTAGGCTACTACTAGCCTTTCGTAGGTTGCGCTCCAGCGCTGGTACCGGTAGTGGCAGTGCTAATGCTGCTCGACCTTTCATTCACTTGCTGGAACTAACTTCAAGCCAAAATAAAAATAAAAAAGCAAACGAGACTTGTACGTCGTTTGACCGTATGGTGGCCACTTGCACTCACGGGTCACCTTGGTCACTCTCGGTGTCGATGCTATGATCGCGGCGCTGATCCTACGACTCAGTACGAGTAGATCTACGAGGCTATGTGACAGTATGTCTGTGGCCTGTGCGCGTTCTGATCCGTCAGCCTAGCCCGGGTCCTGAACTGTGTCAGTGTTCTGGTGTTCCGCTGCTGCTTCTGCTTCCCTGCCACACTGGCACTTGCACTGGCACTGCAGTACTGGCACTGCACTGGGTGCACTTCAGCGCAGGCATGCCATGTGTAGTCCTAGGCGGTGTCCGATACCCTGTATACCACGTATACGACATGCTGCACACAAAAGCCACACATGCTAGCTGCCGTATACGCGTAACGAACGGTTTTGTAGATCACACAAGCTGGAGATGTCTGCAAGTGAAAAAAGAGTGGGACAGCCACTCGACTCACTGGCTCAGTGCAGTTGACGGGGAGTGCAGGGGTGACATACTGCCTTTTACTGGCATTCCAGCTACTGACTGGCTAGTAGTAGTAGTAGTACTAAAAGTGGCTGCAAAGAAAACATGAGGGTGACACGGACACAGACCCTGTGACAGTCACCGATCTGCCACGCTACGCAGCGGGGCCCGGGAATCGACAGCATCCGCATGCACTGAGTGTGAAAGCATTTTAGGAGAAATTTCGCTCTTCTTCACTCAGTCTCTACCACACGCATAGTTGTGAATATTGTAGCCGCGTGAGTCTTGGTGGGGAGTGGGGAGCAATCTCTCTCAGCCACCAGGTAAGGAGCTAAATAACGCACTGAACTGTGACCTGTGCGTGTGTTTATGCTAACACAGAGAAGCCGCTGCGAATGCTGTTTTTAGCCGTGTTCATTCACTCGCCTCGTTGAAGGTAGTCCACTGGAAGAGTACGGATTGTTTTTTTGTCCGTGTTTTCCACAGACAACGCTGCCTGGCTCGGTCACAGTGGCTGGCTGGCCTGGCAGGCGCGACCAAGCCCCAGTGTGTCAAACCCGGATCACACCCAACACGTAACGTCGTTGTCACATTTCACAGGACCTTCACGCAGTCGGCTTTTGGAAAAGCGAACGAAGTCCAACTCGAGTAAGGTCACTCTCTTGCTCAGGTCCTGCACCGCTGCTGTGCCACACGGACCAGGTCAGAAGACCTAGCCATTGAGTGGCGTGGAAAATCCGGGAATCGTCTTGGTCCCACACCACAAGCTCAACAGGAGTCCACGCCACAACAGTCAACAGCACAGCGCGGCGTCGACTCATCATGGCAGGTGCAACACCTCAGACGTTTCGCTTGAAGCCCAATCCCCCCGTGCCATCACAGAAGCTACAGGAGGGTTTCAAATTCCGGCGCTGGGATGACGACGAGGTTGAATGCACAGTGAGGGTCGACGAGACGGGCCTGATCATGTCGATTTTGTTCGAGCGGCGGGAGGGAGTACCAATCTATCTGAGTGAGCTGTCGGACGTGCGTACAGGTCGCTACGCAAGGCCACCGAAAGACCATAAGCTAGTGGATGCGCTGATTGCCAACGCCGGTGTGTCGTCGTTTGACGAGATCGGCGTGACAATAGTGTACGGCACCAACCTGATTGACGTGAGCTTCCTGTGCCTAGCCGCGTACAGCAAGAAAGATGCGGTGCAGTTCAGCACGGACATACAAAAGCTCATGTACAACAACGTGGGTGTGTATATCAGTGAGCAGGTGACCTTACTTCGCGAGCACGCCAGGCTCCGCACGCTGCGGCATCCGGAGAAGAATGGCATAGCTGCCAAGCACATCCAGACGATCTTCGCCATGAAGAACGGCGACGAGTTTCGCGCCGCCATGGAAGCTGTGGGCTGGGATGTGCGCAAGACCGACTACGTGCCGTTTGAGCTGTTCACACTGGAGGCATTCTTGCAGCTGTACGAAAGACTCGTGCCGACGCCGTACGTTGACGACGTCTTCAAGAAAATCGTGCCGGGAAAGAGCCGTAAACCGTACACGTCCGCCAAAGAGTTCAAGATATTTCTGAATGAGTTCCATCGTGATCCGCGCCTCAACGAGATCTTGTTCAAGCACAAGACGGTGGAGGACGCCGAGCAGATCATCCGCACCATGGAGCCAAAGCGCGACTATGCCGACAAATGCCAGCTGACAAAGGAGGGCCTGCTGACGTTCCTGCGCTCCAAGGAGAACGCCATCATCCACCTGTCTCGCTTCGGCCTGCACCAGGACATGGAGCAGCCGCTGTGCCACTACTACATCAACTCCTCGCACAACACCTACCTGACCGGGCACCAGCTGACGGGCAAGGCCACCGTCGAGATCTACCGGCAAGTGCTGCTGACGGGCTGCCGCTGCATCGAGCTGGACTGCTGGGACGGGGCTGACGGCGAGCCGGTGATCACTCACGGAAAAACTATGGTAAACAACATTCCGTTTGTCGACGTGGTGGAGGCCATCAACGAAACTGCCTTCAAGGTCACCGACTTTCCCGTCATCCTCTCGTTCGAAAACCACTGCCGCTTCCGACAGCAACGCAAAATGGTCCACTACCTGCGAACAATTCTGACCGACAAGCTAATACTGGAGCCGCTCGAAGACTACCCGATAAAGCCTGGACTGCCACTGCCACCGCCCAGCAGGCTGCGCGGCAAGATTATCTGCAAGAACAAGCTGATCGTGCCCAGGGACAAGAAGGATGACGACAGAATGGGAACGCTGCCAAGACGCGGCGTGCTGGAGAGAGACGACACTCTCTCGAGTGCCGTTGTTGTCGGAGCAGTCTGTCCGCGCAGGGACACAGCGTCCGATGGTGACGGTCTGAGTACAACTAGCTCGCTGAAGTCACCAGTCAAGGAGGAATCTCAAGATGGCGCGGGGGATGCTGCTTCAGCACCGAGGCTTCCTCCCGTCACTGAAGTCAGCTCGGCTGACGATGGTACACGTGATTCAATGGCAACATCTCCGACGGAGAGTGACAATGCCAGCATCCCGAGCACGTCCACTGGAGATCAAACACCAGCAAAGCGCACAGGATCATACGATTCCGGCTATGCAACTACATCAACGAATGGAAAGACTGCTGACAGCGTGGCCACTGATGTTGCTTCCCCGGATGAGCCAGGGCAAGCAAGCAGTGAGCAAGTGGAACCTTGTGCAGCAGCAGCTACAGATTTGTCTACAGCAGCAGCAGCAACTGAGAATAGTGAACTCGCTAATGGAAGTGAAACTGGCGCTACTGCTGCAGGTGCTGGTGGTGTAATCGGTGCTGGTGCTGCCACGGCTACAGCTCCTTCAACTGAATTGCAGCCAGTGACAACTGCCTGGACAGATTTGGACATGCCATCCCTGGTCAACTATGCCGAACCAATCAAGTTCAGATCGTTTGGTGAGTCCGAGGAAAACAACAAGCACTACCAGATGTCATCGTTTCCGGAGACTGGTGGCGTGCGGCTCGTCCTGGATTTCCCCAAGCAGTACATCAAGTACACCCAGCGACAAAACACCCGCATCTATCCAAAAGGCACCCGCGTGGATTCGTCCAACTACCAGCCGCAGGTCTTCTGGAACGTCGGCTGTCAGATGGTGTCGCTGAACTTCCAGACCCTGGACTTGCCCATGCAGCTGAACCTTGGCAAGTTTGACTACAATGGCATGTGTGGGTACCTGCTGAAGCCCGAGGTCATGCGCCGCTCCGACCGCGATTTTGACCCGTTTGCCGAGTCGCCTATCCAGAACATCGTCGCCGCCACCATCACGGTGCAGATTCTCGCCGGCCACCTGATCTCTAACGCCAAGGAGCAGGTGCGCGTGGAGGTGGACATGTACGGCATACCGGCCGATACCGTGCGCAGGCGCTTCAAGACCAGGTACGTGCCGAATGATGTCACGGTGATCTTTCCCAATCAGCCGTTTGAGTTCAAGAAGGTCATCCTGCCGGACCTGGCCATGCTGCGCCTGGGTGTGGTGGACTCGCAGGGCACGCTGCTGGGTATGCGCGTCCTGCCGCTGGACGGTTTGGAGCCCGGCTTCCGCTACGTGCACTTGAACAACGAGCGCAACCAGAGCCTGTCGCTGGCGTCCCTGTTCGTTCACATCAAGGTGTCCGAGTACATCCCGGAAGAGATGCAGGACTTTGCGATGGGCCTGATGGACCCGATCAAGTACCAGCGTGAACGCCACCAGGCAGCACTGAGCGCCATGACCGACGATGACCTCATGGACGCTGGCAACCCTAACGATCCCGGTGCACGTCGCACCAGCGACCCATTGGGCAACGCGGCAGCAGCAGCGGCGGCTGCGGACGCCCAAGCTGCGGCTGGAGTGCGGGCGCCCGTGCACAAGCGCCAGTCCATGCCAGCCACCCAGCTGGCTGGTGACCCATCCTCTCCAGCTCAGCGGGGAGCTCGGCCGCCCGGCAGTGCAGAGCATGGCCGATCTCAGTCACTGGTACCGACCGGCAAGGGACCGATATCCTTGCAACCGCAACCACAGCAACCCGCCAACGGCAAGAAGTTTTGCCTTCAGGTCCCGAAAGCAGCCACGGGTCGAGACATCCTCACTTCAAAGGAGGCGGCAAAGGAGCTGAAGAAACTCAACAAGGACATTTCCTCCCTCCGTAAGAAGTTTCTCAAGTCCCACGCTTCGCTAACGAAGGCACAGGCGTCGGAGCTCAAGAAGCAGTCAGGAAAGGGTGACGCCGGACTTGCAGCCAGTCTGAAAGAAACGCACGAGCAGGCCATGGTTCAGCTGGCACAGCGGGCCATCGAGGAAGAAGGGGCGCTTGTGCTGAAGCTGCTGCCGCTGTTCTTTGCCTGGGTTGGCAAAGCAATGGCTGCACGCCACGCAGGCGAGCTCAAGCAGTTCGACGAATGCTTCAAGCGTGAGGTGGCAGCACTGGCGGCACGAACCCAGAAGACAAACACGCAACAGAGCCAGAACTACAGGGAGGAACAGAAGAAGAAGGTCACCGACAAAGAAGAGCTACAGCGCAAGATCCGCGAGTACCGCAACAAGATCGTCGAGAACTCAGTGAGCGAGCGCCAAGAAGCCGATCGTGTGCGGATGGCCGAGCTCTCCAATCTGGAGAAGGCACAGAGCGAGTCCGTCACCGACGTGAAGGCGGCAGAGGACCTGGAGCTTGACCGGGTCAGGAAGGTGTACGAAACGCGCACGGCTACATGCACGGGCCCCAACGGGCTAGAGATGTACGTCAGCATAGCACTGGAAGACAAAGGTCTCATCATTGTCTCGCTGTCCGAACTGCCTTGACGTGGCAGTCGTGCCTGTAAACCAGCTGTGCACCCTTACATGGACAACGTCGTGCAGAAGCGAAGTGCGACTGGGAAAGGCGTAGAGCTTTGTATCACGCGCAGAGGTACCCGGACAAACTGCTCACTGCCCGCGTAGAAACAGAGTTGCCCTCACAGGGACAAGTGAACTAGCTGGTTTTGTCGTGATCGTTCCACCAATACCGAGGATAGTTTCTGTGTTGCTGCTAACAGCTACTGCTATTTTCTCTACCATTGGTGAAAATAATGTTTCTTTGGCAACTACTGCAGCTAATCAATATGGGGCTGGGCCTATTTCTAATGATAGTCTTTGTTTAGCTTGTACAGTTGACGCAGGACTTTCACAGCCTTCACACCAATCACTGCACCTCCCGCATGCACTGTCTTCACGGAACGAGGCAACGTTGCACTATCTAATAATTATTATAATTATGTTAGTGCCTTTGTTCAGATGTATTTCTTGCCTCTTGGCTCTGCGAAAGCCATGTTAACATGTTTCTCGGATCTAACCGCACTAGATGGGAACCGACTCTAATAGTAATAGATATGCGCTTAAAACCGTAATAGCTAGTATACTGATTTAGCAGGTGGGGGCACTCTAGCACGCTTTATGCTGATCACATCATTTGCCGGCCCCTGCACTGGGAAAATGCTCCCTACTAATTTTAGTATTTACATGTTTGCCATAGAATCTGATAGCTCTCAGGTTTTTTATTGCCAACTGATCATTCTTGACACATAATAACAGCGCACGTGTCCTTGTCAATCTGCGATTAGAAATTCAACATGGTATTTGAACCGAGAGCACCGCGGCGTGACTGTGAGGGTGTGCGCAAGGAAGGCGGAAATGCGCGCACTGCACTGTGTTTTCTCTGGCCAGCACTGTGTGTTGTGATCGGGGAGCATTGAAGATGAGTTGAAATTCCGGTACATGCACCTCAATTTGACAAAGTACAGTGTGGGATGAATGTGGGCACAAGCTATGCGGTCGAGTCCACCAACTAACCAGATTCTGAACAGTAAGACGTGCACAATCTAGCAATTTGCTTTTACCATTTCACGGGGTCATGCAAGCATGCCTGCACCGCCTGCATCTTCCAGCCGTGTTTGTCAGACAGTCACTGAAAAGATACCAGTTGCACTGAGCATGTGGTAGCATCAGCTCATTGCTCTTAGTGGTGTCACATGATAAGATGAGAATCTGATAAGGAGAAGGCAAAAAAATAAGTCAACATAGAATATTAAGATACGCCAGTTCACAATTGGGTTGGATCAGTAGTGATTCTGAGCTTCATGGCATTCGGATTCGTGCAAATCACCAGAAAATGGATAAATCCCAGTGGGAGAGGAATAGCTGCAGAGTTAAGTCAGCCACGAGGGCAGCAGCACTGCGCCATATTGTTACCGGCGTGGACAGGCGACAGGAGCAAACATCACGCTGGCTGTCTGGCTTATCATCGTTGCACAGATGTGCTCATGACTTGGTAGCCTTGCATACCCACTACTGGCGCTGTAATGCGTGGTAATGATCCGGGGTGAGTACCAATCACTGTACTCGCCACACACAGCGTGTTCAACAGCACTACAGACTGTGGCGGCGCTGTAGAGACGTCCAAAGAACGCTGGGGAGTTGAGTCCACAGGAAAATTGTTGTTCTGATTTCTCGCCTTGCTCAGCGAAGTGTTGGCGCTGATAACTGTCCAAGCAGATGCCCAGCAGGTGGCAATGCTGACATGACGCCAAGCTGCTTTTTACCAACAGAGATGGCATGCGCCACATCGGAAGTCATCAGTTTGGCACACTCAGATGGCAGCAAGCTTAACATGGTGCAGGTACTCATGACCAGGTCAAGTTGGTGTAGTAATGCTTGCCAGTGCACACCATCCAGGACCTAGCCTACCCTAGCATGAGGTATGATCAGGCTTGCTGCAATGGCACTATGGGACGGACATGAATAAAAAAATTTAAAGACCGGCCAGCTGTGATCAGGAATTCTTGCCTGAATCGTCATCTTTGATGAGCTGGCATTGGAAGACACTCTTGAAGGACGATAGGAACGGCTCCATGGCATCCTCAATGGTGACTACACATTCAAGATGTACAAAAAAAAGGAATCACAGAAAGACATGCACTGACATTTGGGCATACTTGACTGAGTTACAGGACAGGATTCTAACTGGAGGTTGCATTGAGCAACCAACAGTGCTGCTGGGCGAATGAACACAATGACATTCAGGGGCGTGCTTGGCGAGGGGCACAGGGGGCAAGTGCACCCCCACAATATTTCGACCGGAGTTTTGAAAAGTCACCAATGTATTGCGGAAAGCCTGACCTCGCGAGAGCACATCCACAGATGAGGTGCTGAAGCTGTTCTTTCGACACTCTCCTCGCCGAATCCTGTCCAGATACGTCAACTAGTGTGACGATTGTTCTTAGCTGTACGCGTGAAATGCGTGTTTGCATCGGCCTGCCTGGCACAGTGCCGTCGACGGATTGGTTTTTAAACATTTGTAAAGTTTTCATCCTTTTTTTGAAAAAAATTGATAATAATATTATCAATTGTTTCATATTATGATGCTGTACTGTGTTCATTCTTGATGACAGTCATTATAATCTTTGTAACAGTAATAATGACGTCACATGTAAAAATATCTGATGATGTCACCGGTACAACCTTTTGAAAATTGCTGTTGTCTGGAAGTGGTGCAGCCCCCTGGAAGGGGAGCCGAGCACGCCCCTGACATTGTCACGAAGGAACAAGGGAATTCCAAGAAGCACCGACCCACAGCTGACTGACACTGGAGTAAGGTATCCAGTGGCAAGAGCACAGTGCTGCTCAAGGCAGTCCGATCGAGCCAGTCAATGCCACGCCGGGCATTGTGCTGCCCCAGGCCTGCGAACACTGAGATGATGAACTGGTGCAGGGCGCAAACTTAAGTAACTAGCACGATCGGATTCCGTTGAGCAGCACTGTACGTGAAACCCAGTGTGTGCAGTTTCCCTATGGATGTCTGCCGTGGCAAACCTACTGGCTTACATCATAGGTAATGGAGATAACTGGCGGAAAGTAGCATAGTGCGAGGTGGAGATAACTGGCGGAAAGTAGCATAGTGCGAGGTGATGGAGATAACTGGCGGAAAGTAGCATAGTGCGTACGGCTGACAGCTGAGAGCTGAGAGCTATACTTGTGCAGAAGCAGCAGCAGACCTGCGTGTACGCATTGCACCACAAATATGATGTAATCCAGGAATTTTGCTGCGACGACAATTCACTGGAGGTGCGTACTCGGGTCGAACGGAAACAAGGAAATCAACATATACAAGTGTGCAAAGAAAACTGGGGGCAGTGTTAGCCAGAGCACTGCAAATACACTACACAATATCAGTGCAGAAAAAGCACTTTTAAAAAGCAGTGACTGACCTTCTTTGCCAGTGAGCTCGGTGAGAGACGTAACGCCCTTGCCATGTAGGCCACACGGGACAATGTTAGTGAACCACTTCAAGTCGGTGTTGCAGTTCAATGCTAGACCATGCATGGTCACATAGCGAGTCGACTGTATGCCTGCAACAAGGGACATGTGAATAGAATGCATTCTTAGAATCCAAGACATTGTAGAGCAGTATATTGCTAAGACCATATGCAGGGGTGTGGGTGTATATGCAGGGGTGTGGGTGTATATGCAGGGTGTGGGTGTATATGCAGGGGTGTGGGTGTATATGCAGGGGTGTGGGTGTATATGCAGGGGTGTGGGTGTATATGCAGGGGTGTGGGTGTATATGCAGGGGTGTGGGTGTATATGCAGGGGTGTGGGTGTATGTGCAGGGGTGTGGGTGTATATGCAGGGGTGTGGGTGTATGTGCAGGGGTGTGGGTGTATATGCAGGGGTGTGGGTGTATGTGCAGGGGTGTGGGTGTATATGCAGGGGTGTGGGTGTATATGCAGGGGTGTGGGTGTATATGCAGGGGTGTGGGTGTATATGCAGGGGTGTGGGTGTATATGCAGGGGTGTGGGTGTATATGCAGGGGTGTGGGTGTATATGCAGGGGTGTGGGTGTATATGCAGGGGTGTGGGTGTATATGCAGGGGTGTGGGTGTATGTGCAGGGGTGTGGGTGTATGTGCAGGGGTGTGGGTGTATGTGCAGGGGTGTGGGTGTATATGCAGGGGTGTGGGTGTATGTGCAGGGGTGTGGGTGTATATGCAGGGGTGTGGGTGTATATGCAGGGGTGTGGGTGTATGTGCAGGGGTGTGGGTGTATATGCAGGGGTGTGGGTGTATGTGCAGGGGTGTGGGTGTATATGCAGGGGTGTGGGTGTATGTGCAGGGGTGTGGGTGTATATGCAGGGGTGTGGGTGTATATGCAGGGGTGTGGGTATATATGCAGGGGTGTGGGTGTATATGCAGGGGTGTGGGTGTATATGCAGGGGTGTGGGTGTATATGCAGGGGTGTGGGTGTATATGCAGGGGTGTGGGTGTATATGCAGGGGTGTGGGTGTATATGCAGGGGTGTGGGTGTATATGCAGGGGTGTGGGTGTATATGCAGGGGTGTGGGTGTATATGCAGGGGTGTGGGTGTATATGCAGGGGTGTGGGTGTATATGCAGGGGTGTGGGTGTATATGCAGGGGTGTGGGTGTATATGCAGGGGTGTGGGTGTATGTGCAGGGGTGTGGGTGCATATGCAGGGGTGTGGGTGTATATGCAGGGGTGTGGGTGTATATGCAGGGGTGTGGGTGTATGTGCAGGGGTGTGGGTGTATATGCAGGGGTGTGGGTGTATGTGCAGGGGTGTGGGTGTATATGCAGGGGTGTGGGTGTATATGCAGGAGTGTGGGTGTATATGCAGGGGTGTGGGTGTATGTGCAGGGGTGTGGGTGTATATGCAGGGGTGTCGTGTGGGTGAGGACTACTGTAAAGTGAGAAACTTTCGCTAGAGATTAAATTTCGCTATTTTCACGACTATCACACATTCGCGAATATAAATCGCCGCAAACCTCTTCGTGCATTGATTGTAGACAGTACAAGATCCGACTGAAGAGATAGAGTCGCAAAAGTTTCTCATCGTGAACCAGCCCAATTTATGAAAACGCTAAATTTGCTCGCCGCGAAAGTTTGTCGTTTTACAGTAAGCAGTCCACGCAAACACATGCCTGCACCGGCTGGAACCTACCCATGGCACAGACTTTGTTGTTGCCGACCCAGATGCCAGTGTCCGGAGTGCGACGAGTCTCCACACCGAACTTGCGGCACGTCTCGATGATGACCTCCTCCAGCGTGTGTACGTACCACTTGAGACTTGGCTGTGTGGATGCAGGCATGGTCAGCAGCAGGGAGAACCAAGCGAATCAGTACAGTATGTATGCAGGCATGCATGCATGGTCGACAGCAGAGATCAAGCATGAAGGAACATTCAGCTCAGTGTATGACTGGGACACTGTTTGAGACTCAGAACATGCTCAAGCAGGGCGCGAAACAACGGTCGGACATCGGACAATTTCCGACCGTTTACGGTCAGTTTCTGGATGTTTTGTACATATCCGGACAAAGTGTCCGCGCAGTTTTTTGCAAAGTACAAAAAGAAAAGGCGCATCAATCCTTTGTCTCATAGTCATTAGTGATGTCGTCTGGCAAGAGAAAGCCAAGCACCGCTGATGCGGGTGTTCCTCTTGGAAAGAAGCCCAGAGGAGTCAAGACGACCACTTGTGACAAGTGGGTCGCCGAGTATGATAGGGAGCTTTCAACTTCTGTTTGGCTGAGCTATGAGCGCAGTCCCTCAGATCGTAGCATTGTCGAAAATTCGAAGTGTAAGATGTGTCCCCGTTTTGTTGATAAAATTCGCAGCAGCAAGAATATTTCTGACTCCTTCGTCGTGATAACATTTCGATGGTATTAATTCTACATTGAACATTGTGTGATTTGATGTGAAAATTTGCATGTCCGGATATGTCCGGCCATTGTGTCAGGGCACATTTTAATCCTTAGCGCATGCCCTGCTCAAGCACACACACACATAATCAAGCTGCCTGCGTATGCTGGCCAAATCCATGCACAAGGTCTTCGGCGTGAAGGTCGTTGGTGTGGATGTGTGCCAACAATAACTTCGGAGCTGACAGGGTAACAGCGAGCAGAAAGTCACTACGCTCTGACATACCTTGAATTGATGTAGGTTGAAGATGGGATAACAGACCAGCTGCCCAGGACCGTGGAAAGTGATCAGACCACCACGGTCAACCTAGGCAAACGACAATCATAAATCAAAGCAAACCTAATCATCTTCAGCAATGACTCTAATATCTATCACTATCACTATCATAATTATCGTAATGGTACGGTGTATTCTTTTCGTGACACAGCTAAGCCAGGCAGGAGTACAGTTCTCACCACAAGAGACAAATTCAGACCACTGACCAACCTGGAAGTAGTCAGCGCCGATGTCCTTGAAGCGATTGCGCAACTGCTCATTGTCCAGATCCTTAGCTCGCCGACCGTTGGTGTAAACTGGATTGTGCTCACACAGCAGTAGAGTATTCTATGCAGCAGCAGCAGCAGAAGCAGCGGTGGTGGCAGCAGCAGCGGTGGTGGCAGAAGCAGCAGTAGCATCAGTAGGTGGATTCAAATAAGAAACAGGGTGTCTTCAAAAACACTGGATGTAAGAACTATAAATCCTATGCCAATGCAACAAATTACAACATCCCGAGCTGACTTTAAAATACTAAGGACACTAAAAAAAGTTACATGCATTGGAAGTATGCAGTGCTTTCAGTACGTCCTGTAGGGATGAAATCCCTCCCCTCTCCTTAAAAAAAAAAAGCAGTTAAAGGGGAAGTTAAGGCAAAAATTAAAATTTCACCAGTTGTAGTCTTCGGGGTGCTGAGTCGAATGGTCTTGGTCCGAGAAAGCTGAGACGCTCCCTTCCTACTTGAATCCCAATCGAACTCGCGCACTTCCACCGAAACTGGGTGACTGCGCCCTACTAGATGGGGATTTGTATGCAAAATGTCACTAAAAGCGCCGTTCTGTTCTTATAAAAGCACGGATGACCGCGATTGGCCCATGTGTTGTAGTCTTTTGGATGCTGAGTCGACTGGTTTTGGTCCGAAAAGGCTGCGATGCAGCGTTCCTCCTTTATTCCCAATCGAACATGGTTGAACAAGCGGTCACGTGCTCCTGCGTACACCAGTCACCTGGTCACCGTGCCTGCAGGGTACAACTTACTAGCCTGTTTGACCTTTTTTGGGTGCAGTCCTGTCACTCGAGTTGAACTCGAGTTGAACCTTGGTGTGAAAGTTGTCGCCTGCTGGCGTGGTGACCAGGTGATTTGGGCACCCAGGAGCACGTGACCACTTGTTCAACCATGTTCGATTGGGAATAAAGGAGGAACGCTGCATCGCAGCCTTTTCGGACCAAAACCAGTCGACTCAGCGTCCAAAAGACTACAACATATGGGCCAATCGCGGTCATCCGTGCTTTTATAAGAACGAAACGGCGCTTTTAGTGACATTTTGCATACAAATCCCCATCTAGTAGGGCGCAGTCACCCAGTTTCGGTGGAAGTGCGCGAGTTCGATTGGGATTCAAGTAGGAAGGGAGCGTCTCAGCTTTCTCGGACCAAGACCATTCGACTCAGCACCCTGAAGACTACAACTGGCGAAATTTTAATTCCCGTAGCTATGCAGAAGACGTTACTTCAGTAACGTCTGGCGCTAGCCAGGGTCCACACAGCTTTAATTTGGTATGAAGACTACAACTGGTGAAATTTTAATTCCCGTAGCTATGCAGAAGACGTTACTTCAGTAACGTCTGGCGCTAGCCAGGGTCCACACAGCTTTAATTCCCGTAGCTATGCAGAAGACGTTACTTCAGTAACGTCTGGCGCTAGCCAGGGTCCACACAGCTTTAATTTGGTGTTTGTTTGTTTGTTTGTTTGTTTGTGTCACGCCTGGCGCTATCCCGTATCTGTCCCATACTGTACCGTACCAGCAAAGACAGCTGGCCACAATATTTTTGTTTGTGCCATCGACATGCCTGGCGCTATCCCGTACCTGTCCCGTACCATCAAGAGTACGGTACCATCAAGAGAATGAGTATATATGCGAAGTGTATCGGGGGAATGCATTCAGTGCAGTAACATTTTGTGTGGATTTGTGTGCGAGGCCGAGATCCCACTAGCAGGCTGGCTGGGCCGCCTGTCGACCAGCCCGGGAATCGCATGTAGGCCGATAGCATAACAATTATAACGTATATACAGTCATGTAGATGTATAGCAGGGTGTCATTTTCTGGAAAGAAATACGAAGTAGGGAGACGAGTAAATGCAATCAGAATTGATGTTAGTTGCCGTCAGTATACTTCGAAGTAATAATAAGAAGAAGAAGAACGCCCGTGATCGGCAGAATCAGCGCCGGTCCCAGGAAACGTCAGGACAGACATCCCGTCGAGTCCAGAACGCCCGTGATAGGCAGAGTCAGCGCCGGTCCCATAGCTATGCAGAAGACGTTACTTCAGTATCTCATTGAAACGTTTTTGCAATACAATGATGCAGCCAATCTAAGGAAAAAGCATTTCCATCAGTTCTAACAACATACAAGATGAGCTAGGCAACAAAGCATAGCGCAGGGCCCCGAGCTTCCAAGCTCTCTCGTTTGGTATTTGTTTGTTTGTGTGTTTGTTTGTTTGTTTGTGTCACGCCTGGCGCTATCCCGTATCTGACGGCAAAAAAAGCATAGGGATGTTATAAATTTTTCAATTCTCCTATTTTTTTTCAGGCATATCCTGGGATTCGAACCCGCACTATCGCCCTACATGCATTCCCCTATACACTTCGCATTCATACCCATTCTTCCAAGGTGCTTCACGTTATGATCTTGCGTTTGAAAGCCCTATTTGAATATTGCGGGCAGCTGTATGTGGCCAGCTGTGTTTGATGGTACGGTACGGGAGACGGTGTCGTATTACCCTCGATCGTACCTGTCCCGTACCTACCCTACCGTACCGTACCATCAAAGACGGCTGGCCACAATGCATATTCAAATAGGGCTTTCAAATGCAAGATCATAATGTGAAGCAACTTGGAAGAATTAGTATGTATGCGAAGTGTATCGGGGGATGTATGCAGGGCGCGCGATAGTGCGGGTTCAAACCCCAGGTTATGTCTTAAAAAAAAGGAATTGTTTAAAGACCGGGGGATGCATGCAGGGCGCGATAGTGCGGATTCGAATCCCAGGTTATGTCTTAAAAAAAAGAAATTTTTTAAAGAATTTATAACATCCCTATGCTTTTTTTGTCTAGGTCATCAAGGCAAAAAAGCATAGCGTAGGGCCCTGAGCTTCCAAGCTCTCTCGTTTTTGCCTTAACTTCCCCTTTAATACGGTGGAGTATAGGTCTACCCTTGCTAGCATATAGCCCCGGGGTTTCAACGGCTTCGTCTTATAACGAGCTTTATCTTGCACATTTGTCTGCTGTTTTACATCATTCATATTGTATCTGCCTCAGAAATGATGTTTCCTCATTATAAGACAATGCCCCCCCCCCCCCCCCCCCCAGACTCCTGTACAAGACAGCCTGTTAGACAACAATTTTTTCCATCGCACCCCTATGCAAGACAACATGAAACATCGATCAAGTTACCTAGAAAGAAACAAATCCAAAGAAATCGTGTTTTCAGACTTCACGCCAAGTTGCTGGCAGCGAAGATTGAGCCATCCGGGCAAATTCGCAGCTCATAGCCATTTGTTTTTTGTCTTGTAATGAGGGGATCAAACCTGTGGGACAGCTGAAGGCGACGTTATATACAAACGAGTTATCTCTTAGGTTGCATTCGCACACGGTACAAAACCACTTGCATATGTGTCATGTTCTTTGAAGTGCCCATAGAAACAGTCACAAAAAGTGAAAAATCACATGTATGTAGAAAGCAATCCTGGAGCCGCTTTGAAGGCAAGTGGTAGGTGTCCCATCTGCGAAAGCGTACAGTACGTGAAGCCAGTTTGGCGCAAAAATTCAATTCGCCTCGCCTCGCCATGGATATCTGGTCACGTGGGCCACTTTTTATGCGCATGGCACGCAACTGCATTTCCTGCGCGAATGCATACTTGTTGCAAGTGGCTTGTACGAGGACTTCCACGCGAGTTTTCGTACTGTGTGTGAATGCAGCCTTATCCGGACTTGCATGTACGACTGCTGAATGGATTTCGTTCGGGGATTTCGGATTGTTGTCTACTAATGAGGTTTGTCCTGTAACCGATGACGTGCTGACTACGGTACACCTGTACCTCTAGAAATGAATAACACAGAAGAAGGTGCATGCTCCGCACTGGACGCTTCACAGCTTTGTTTCCTGCTCAGATTTGCATGACTGACTGGTGACTCTCTTCACGGCCCACCCTCCCATGCCCTCTGGTTTTCTGCTGTGCCGCATCATGCCGAGGCACATCTCTATTTCCTTCTCTGTATCCTCAGAACGAACACTCAATATCAAATCTCTTCAGCTTTAACCTTAAAAAATACTGTTGTCTCGTATTAAAGCCTGTCTTATATAGAAGACTGTTTTGAATACAAGCCTGATTTTCAAGATCCATATATATTATATCGGCCCATAAGCCTGGTTTTAGTGTTGACATACATAGAAATACATGGTTTGAATAGCAGCCTGATGTGAACAGAAACCTAGCCCTGACATCCGCTTCCACAGGAATAAGCCCAGCTTTAATACGTGACATTACGGCAAATGGAATATAAAGAGGGGAGTCAATCTCGTTCACCAGGCTCATCCTGCCAGTGCGGCTCACCCAGCCCACTCGGCTCTCAAAAGACGTGGCAGGGTCACTCACCTTGCCGCCAACATCAAGATGCGGCCATGGGTCACTCACCCTGCTGCCAGTAAACATAATACTCACTGCAAGCCTGGCAAACAGTGATTGACAAACCACTCCTATCCCTGCAACCAAGAGTAGATAAACAAGAGTGTGCAACTCGCGGATGGTTGGCCCATGGCGGAAAGTTTTGTTAACGTAATCTTTTCTACGACGCATGCACTGCGAATCTTTTGGGAAGTCTTGCCTCGTGCACTTGGCCGGGCTTTACATTACAAGGCCGGTGTCCAGCACGTGGTCTCACACTGCTCTGCGGCAAAAGGCGCGTGCTCTGTCATGTTTTCTGAAAAAGGTGACATCAACAAAAATTCCGCCGTGGGCCGGGGTATCTGCAGATTGTGCAGAAGAGATGCGGAGTTGCACACTCTTGTTTATCTACTCTTGCCGCAACTCAATGCACTTGAACGTGCAGCGTAAACCCTCTATCAACTGGTACTGCACTCGTTGGGGGTTTCATAAATTAAATACGCAATTCGACAGTTTGTTTCGTCAGTATGAACCCCCGGTTGAAACTGGCCTGAAATATTTGTTATTTACTCAATAAATCAGCTCTATCAGTGGTTAGATGCTTGTGAAAATCAAGAAATTGCCTGTTCATATTCTTGATTTCCTTTCTAACCTTGACAATGTCTACGACATGCCTCTTATTGGCGATGGTGCCATCGTGAGAATAAAGAATTCAAATGCATAAGCTCTTGTTGACTGTCAACAACTAATTATCTAGCTTGCTAGCAAGAAGAGAATATTTCATTTCGGGCCTGATATGATGATGTCTTACCTGTGTTTTCGTGTCACATGCACTGCTCTGTCCCATTTCTCCAATCACTTTGTTCACCATCGACTCCTGGATGCCTAGCGCCTGATCATAGTTGATTCTTGCTAAGTTCCTGATCAGCACCATAGGTCTCGTCGCGCTTGCCATCGCCTAAATAATAACTGTGCAGTTCCCCGATTCGAAACTTAGTCTTTAGAGCTGTGTCTATTTTCTAACACCTGGGTCCAGCCACGGCCACTCCAAACAACACGTGCTTTTCAAAGGCAGATCAGGCCGACAAAAATCCTCACAACATACACAACACTGAACCATGTGAACGGCCCCTACACAGCCCTCGACAGTCTTCAAAATCAAAGACTACGTACAGTAGTCAGTAGGATCCACGTGCACCGTTCGAAACGAGAGTCGCGACGTCGAGAGACCTCGACATGACACGAAGGCAAAGCCTCGTTGGCTGCATGCAGATCACGTGGCACGTATGTAACCATGACAATCATGATTGTCAGAGCACTGAGCATGATCATATATGAGTACGTGAGTGCAGTGCATGCAGTGACCTGGTGACCAGTGACTGGCGCCATGGCGTGCGAGTTTGCAGCTTGTGGCTTTCTCCTTCCTCTTTGACTTGGTGTATTTTCGCAACTCAGTGCCAGTGGAAGCAACGATGGTAAATAATTCTTTGCTGGAAGAGGAGATACCTCATTGGAGCGTTTCCTGAGCAAGGTAGTTTTCCCTCTTGTGTCAATTATAGGCTCAAATGAAACCCGACAAGGGCGTTGGTGGTGACGAGCCCCAGATTCACAGAATCAGGATCACCCTTTCTTCTCGAAATGTCCGCAGCCTCGAAAAAGGTGAGAGTCAGTGCATGTCGAACTAAAACCGGTTCTAGAATTCTGCCATCGAGCAAGAGAAGGGTGGTGGTGGATCCTACGCCTAGGCTACGGAACACTCTCAGTGAACTGCAGAGGGCAAGTGTCAGTGGTGTCCATTCCCGTGTGTTAGCCCTGCAGCGGCACTGGCACACCTCGCAGTGTCCCTACAGCCAGTACAGGCTGCTAGTATAGTAGACCCTACCGGTAGTTACTAAGTAGTTTAGTCTCTAGCATGGCTAGGCTTAGATGCTACCACTCCCTGCCCCGGACAAACGCACCAGAAACATCAGCTGAAATTCTCATCAAAGCAATCACGGTGACCACTGACAGACTTTTTCAACTGATTTCCACTGGTCTTGTGTGGGTGTGAGCGTACTAGTACACTCCACTTTGCTCAGGGTGTACAGACTTCACTGTTAGCCATATCACATTCATCTCTCACAAAATCATAGTCCACTACCCACAACGGTCATCATGTTGGTTATCCTGGAAAGCTCCTGACAAGAGGAACACCATGAATCCAAGCTCGATTCCGTGAGATGCGCTGGACCAGCGATGCAAGCCGGCAAAGGCGTTTCTGAGCGCACCTGAGAGTTTTCTCTTCCATCTGAATTTTTTTGAATTTATCAACCATCCATGTTCGATACATGTATATTCCGTCGGTAATGGGTTAATCTTGGAGCATTACAATAATAGCACCGTAGCAAACATGTCAGTGCCGGGCTGCAGGTAGGATAGGCATTAGTTTCTACTGGGCTGTAATGGTTGCCGCTCTGTTCAGCATCAGTAGGGCTGTGTATTTCCAAAGCCGGGAGCAAGCTTGGAAATGAATGCTACATTATCGGAAGCAGATTGCCATAACAGCATACCGTATATTCTCTATTATAAGCACAGGTATCCATTACTAGCACAGTCTCTAATACTAGCACACTGTGAGCACTTTTCGAAACATTATAAGCACAGTCTCTATTATTAGCACGGTCTTGGTGGAAATCGATGCTGCATGCATGATATCTAGCATGTATTTCTTCTTGCTCTGTATGGATATATAAGCACGGTCTCCAATATAAGCACGGGGTAGAGGGTTCGATACATGTATATTCCGTCGGTAATGGGTTAATCTTGGAGCATTACAATAATAGCACCGTAGCAAACATGTCAGTGCCGGGCTGCAGGTAGGATAGGCATTAGTTTCTACTGGGCTGTAATGGTTGCCGCTCTGTTCAGCATCAGTAGGGCTGTGTATTTCCAAAGCCGGGAGCAAGCTTGGAAATGAATGCTACATTATCGGAAGCAGATTGCCATAACAGCATACCGTATATTCTCTATTATAAGCACAGGTATCCATTACTAGCACAGTCTCTAATACTAGCACACTGTGAGCACCTTTCGAAACATTATAAGCACAGTCTCTATTATTAGCACGGTCTTGGTGGAAATCGATGCTGCATGCATGATATCTAGCATGTATTTCTTCTTGCTCTGTATGGATATATAAGCACGGTCTCCAATATAAGCGCGGTCTCCAATATAAGCACGGGGTAGAGGGCTGTTGAAAAAATATAAGCACGGCGCTTATAATAGAGAATATACGGTATGATCTAACACCATCTCAATGTGACCTGTTGTGCCGTGACCTAGACAGCACACCCAGCTCTAGTTACTTATCTATGGTGGGGGGTCAAAAAGGTGACCTGGCATTTGCGCTGAATTTTCCTAGATCGACAGCATGGCAAAACTCGGCCACTGGTCATTTGGTGAAAAAACTACATAAAGAGGAGCGCATTATTGTGAAACGTGCCATTGTGTTTATCCACAAAAAGGCGAAATTGCTTATTGAATGAGTTTCTCTTCTTATGTTCGTGTCAACTTTAGAGTTGCTAGTGAGACTGATTGTGTAGTCTTTTTCATATACCATGCTATGTGGTCAAGAGCCATGGCAGTTGTCCAATTCTCTCTCTCACACACACACACACACACACACATCGATCCATGTGGCTTGTTTCATACTGGTACCTGGCACGTTTGCCCTCATCTGGTGTGCAAATATCAAGTTGTGGCGATAAAAAAAGAGGCATGTTTCCCTGAGCCCCCGACCTGCACCAAGTATTACTTGTACGTGGGTGGTTGGTGTGTGTGTGTGTTATACTCATAAACGTACAATCTATATCTGACCGAATATGTCAACGGTATGTTTTGCTTGTTCTGTGTCCGCTGCAGTGTGCGGTGATCTGATCCGTGGTGCTAAGGAGAAGCAGCTGCGCGTCAAGGGACCAGTGCGCATGCCCACCAAGAACCTGAAGATCACCACCCGCAAGACACCCAACGGTGAGGGTAGTAAGACCTGGGATCGCTATGAGATGCGCATCCACAAGCGCCTCATCGACCTGCACTCGCCGTCTGAGATCGTCAAGCAGATCACTTCCATCTCTATTGAGCCCGGTGTCGAGGTCGAGGTTACCATCGCTGACCAGTAAACACATTGTTGATGTAGAGTTCTATATTTTCTAGGAACTAATATACTCTTCAATCCATCAACCTCCTCCTGTACTGTGGGCCTAATGTGTTGATAATTCCACAAGTTAGCTAAGGAACTAGGCTGAAGCTGCAACTCGGATGAAGCCATGAAAGTTGATGAAACTCTGAGTTACAGCTTACATTAATTCCATTGCTAACTTGTCTTTTTGGCTCTGCCTTCGTGGCACTGAGCACATTTCGCAAGGGTTTAGCAACATAGCTTGAACTTGATAACTGAATGGGATTTTCTTCTTCGGTTGTCAGCTTGAAAGTTGCTGCCATATAGCACCTGTTTTTTCCCGCACAAATCCATGCAGTCGCACACAGAGCAGTTGCGTGCCTTGCACGATCAGGACATGCCCAAAACATCCTGGTTTGCAGGCCCACTCGCGCGATCGCACCACTAGCTAAACAGAAATAGTACAGGCAGTTGCACGGTCTTGAGGTTATGCACTATTGGTACATTAGAGTCGCGCCCCAACAATGCCAGTCTGAAATGCTAAGAGCGCCACAGCCTAAAATGAAGAGCGGCAGTATTGGTTTTCCGGCGGCTTTTGAGATACATATGATCCAGTACGAATTGTTTCGAAGAACGTGCTATAGCTTATACCAAGAGTGCATAAACAGAGTATGCAACTGTGGTTATGGGTTAGCGCGCGGCGCCTGCCTTCATTAGTGAGGTTCTGCCACACGGTAAAACGTGCCAAAGTACGTATGGAAACTTCGCCGCGGTACGGGATTTAGTTTGATACGGATTTTTTCATACCGTTTTCCGTGTGAAAAGTGAGCGTACAGAGTACATGTGGCGGGGTGTTCGTGCATGCTACGTACAGCAGAACCGGTGCAACGTACGAAAATTCTTGTCAAACTTCACTGCAGTTGACACAGAGTTTGGTACGTAGTTCCGTGTAGCAGAACCTCTCTATTACGTAACTTGCCTCCATCACGCTCTGAAAGCATGCACTCAAACCCACAATTTCTCGTACAAGCCCATCAGTTTTTGCTCGATTCGTCCCAGTACCTACGCGATCTCTATATTCTGAAATGATAGTATGCGCCTCCTTAGAATAATGGCTTTTACAGTACAGTAAATAGCAGGGAGTAGGTATTTTACTACTCCCTGGTAAAGAGAGAGAGAGAGAGAGGTTGAGTGACTCGTTTGTTTCATACGAGACGAGTCAATGGTCTGGTCTGGGTTAGAGTCTCGCGAAGATCTCGTAGATTGGATTTGTTTACACGAGACCAGGCTGTTTGATTTGTGGGCAGCTCCGAGATCGCACTGTCTGCAAAAGAGATACACCACAGCTAAACAAGAAGTACAATCAGTCAAGGAGCATCCCCGTACTGCTGTACCCGTAGTTCTGTAGCTATTTCCGTCGGCGTCATGTCGTCGTGGTTGATCAATGATCGCCTTGTTCACGAGTCACTGAACCTCTTTTACGCATTACACAATTCAAACATGAAACGAAATCGATTTCGCTTCATGACGTTCATGTACTTCAAGAAGTACGAGTTTGCAACGAGTCACTGACCATCCCTACTAAAGCAGTTTCCGACTCCCTGGCAAGCAATACCAAGAGTAAAATAATAAGCTTACCGGTCATAATTCTAATTGTTGTACTGTAAAGTACTGTTGATCCCCCCCCTGGTGAATGTCTACCTGTGAAACAACTTCAGTGTATACATCAACAAAATACAGTGTTGAATCGACGCTTGTACAGTGCGTATCGGTTATAGCGCGGTCGTGTAAAAGAATATACTGCCAACAATAATGAACTCTCATGTTTTTATAATCATGACATGGATTTCAAGTGCACATTTATTCCTACAAGCAATTTTATCGTACAGTAAAATATATCGGTCCTAAGAATGGACTTTGTGTAGCAAAACATACCAGATTAGTACAAAGTATATCGCCTGTAGTAATAATATCCGTCCAATTCAGTTCCGATCTGACTCGCGTAGTGCTGCAGGTTCAACTGTTGTGGTCAGGTAACTCCTGTTGCATAGCCACATGGTAAGCCTATGTGACTATGACCAGCCGCAAGCACCGTAACACTACATTGCATGTACGACGATCTTCCTGCCTCTGCGCACATGCACATGATATGTCACACTTGATTTATCGTGTGTAAGAAATATCGGAAATAAGCATAGAAAGTCGTTTTTCAAACACCCCTGCTTTAACCTATACCTACTTTACTGTACGCAATGCGTGCGCCTGTAGATACCGGTATGCATGTGAATGAAAATGACTTACTAGTACCGTAAAATCCCGCCAGAGCCCCATCTCTCCCATCCGCCCCTCCCTGACTTTTTGTCAGGGAAGTGATTGATTGTATCCTCGTATGACTCTGTGATGCCGTACTGTACTGCAGACGCGTGTTCGACCCCGTTGGAAATGTGCGCAACAGTGCCCACCCTCTTGACCAGGGATCACACAAACCCTGAGTTTGACGGGTCTGTACGACTCCTGGCTCTTGACCTTTGGTCGGTATACAAAAATGCACGGACAGTTTTCGTAGGGTGAGTACTTTTTATGTAGTACTGAATGCGGCAAGTAGGACTCGCCCATCCGCCCATCCCCACCTGAACCTGCTCGAAGCGTCGAGGAGGTAGGGGCGCTCTGCGGGATTTTACAGTATGTGCACAATGCAGCACAGCTAGTACAGCAAATCTGATCTTTTGTGCAGTTGTGCATACTTCCGGAAGTAGTACTGCACTTGAGAGCCTTGATCTATTTCCCACCCCTGCTGAATAAGCAGTTGGGAGGTGACACAGCGCGGCCGCGGGTGGGGGATCAACGTTACTTCACGGTAAAGCCAAGGACTCATACCCGCCCCGCCCTCTTTCCCAGGCGACGAGCCGATACCACTTGGCTGCATTTGTAGTACATGTACTTACATCATGTACCTGTTAGTACACACATGCATTCCAATGCGTGCATACTATGTGCATTTCGCATTTTGGTGCAGGCAGGCTCATTTTAATAATAATAGTAGGACCCCCCCCCCCCCGCCCTCTTTCCCAGGCGACGAGCCGATACCACTTGGCTGCATTTGTAGTACATGTACTTACATCATGTACCTGTTAGTACACACATGCATTCCAATGCGTGCATACTATGTGCATTTCGCATTTTGGTGCAGGCAGGCTCATTTTAATAATAATAGAAGGACCCCCCCCCCCCAACACACACAGAGTCCTTAACCCTTGTGAACTCCAGTTATCCCATGGTACATGGTTCCCTTCGGGAACGGACACGATAATTTACTTACTTACACTCAAACATAGTTTCAGCCAATCAGCATCCGATCTGGCCGGGAAATATTGGCCAATAGATGGGCGTGGATTTATATTGATATTAATTCCGGTCAGATTTACCGTACACACAGGTCATTCTGAAAGTATATTTGGCACCGAGAATACTCTCGGTGCCAACTATAGCTTCAGAATGACCTGTGTGTACGGTAAATTTGCCAGGGATTATGATCAAACCAAGTATACTAGTGACACTTCCAGTGGGGTAAGGCTTACTCCACCCAAAGCCTTGCATAGCATGTTGGAATGCCACGGTGCCAAATACGGCTATTGTGGACACCGTACAAGAGCTGTAAGTTAGGAGACGTATACCACCATGTATACTGAAAAACAAAACGAAAATATAATAATATACTGCAGCTGTATAGTTCACATACGCTGATCCCAAACCGCAGGAATCTCCAAGATTTTTTTACATCATGAGAAACCTGATCGTGACAGTGTAAGGTAAGAACACGAAACGTAAGAAAAAGGCCCAACCTTGCCCTGCCAGTTAGGGGTCGCTATGGCAAATAAATATCATGTATACTGTATGCATAATCGAGTAATGGAAACTTCGAACGATCAAAGAAATGTGCAAGACTAGGCTTTCCCCAAACCGGCCAGCCGAAAATTCGCCGAAAACGAGACTTATCGAAGAATCGCTAAGCTTTTCGCCGATTTAGGAGGGTTCCTTTGAGAATCGCAGAAAATCTACCAAAATGTTGTTGCAAAGTGCGTTTGTGAATGAATGATGTTGCTGCAAACATGACCGCTCTATAAGCTCTCTACTTCAGTACTTGTACTGGTGCGTTGAGGTCATGTGACTCGTGTCCTTTGACCTCCTCTCAAAGAAACATTAGCCATTACGTAGGCGAGACCAAAATAAAAATCGAGATTCCCGGGCAGGACCCATGTGAAATTGGTACAGGCGGGCGAATTTTATTTTTTACTTTTTCCCATGTATATATTCAATCATGATATAATCCAAAACTGGTAAGCCAGTATTAGATAAACCTTGTTGTAGTTCACGCAATTGTTAGATTGATAGCATGAAACAAGGAGGAGGACACTGTTCGAAAACAGTAACCTTACTACAACCTTCCGCGGTTGGCATAACGAGGGTCAGAACCGGGTGCGATACCCATAATTATGGTTCAAATGGTCCGCAGGGACCGGGGCTCTGCCAACCGCGGAAGGTTGTAGTAAGGTCACTGTTTTCGAACACAGTGTCCTCCTCCTTGTTTCATGCTGTGTAAGAAATACCCAACCCAGCTTAACATGCATGTATATCGATCTCAACGGAACTTGGTGAAGAGTCTGACTCAATCGAAATACCGGGGATACATTCGGTCCGTACAAGCTACGCTGCAGGACAAAAACCGCCCATCACTGTTTCAGTTCGTGAGCATATTAAAAAATCATAAAGTATCTCGTGACATCCCGACACTCACCATTAGTTCTACACAGCAGGCTACTACCTCTTCAGCTAAAGCCACTGCATTGAACTCTCAGTTCGCCTCAGTGGCCGTGCCTGATGACCCTTCTCTACCCATTCCCCCCATTGCTGAGGAGTCGGGTGAGGCTGACCGCCTCACATCTGTCTTTACTACGACTGCTGCCATCCGACGTTACATTCGAAAGCTCCCGTCTGACAAGGCGCCAGGCCCAGACGGCATCACTAATCTGGTATTAAAGTCCCTTGCGCCCTCAATAGCATA